AGCATGCCCGAACAGCAGACACCCTGTAAGCAGGCTTCTAACTATTATAAATAAAGTTTTAAATAATTTGTGTGTAGATTTGTAGAGTCTGTGTGTATATCAATAAGCCAAGCAATGCCTCGAAATAATATTTTCAATAATATATTCTATTTCGAAACATTGCTTTTAATTTGTTACTACGAATCCGAATTGAATATAAAAAAGAAAGGCAGCCAAAACCAGCTTAATATATTTGTTATATTAGTTAGTCAAGGGGGTGTTTTAAAAAACTGAAATGTTGCGATCTTTGCATGCCATACGAGATATAAAACGCCGCTTGATGTCTGTAGAATAATAATCCGAAAAATAGTAGTCGATATATAAAGATATCATAGGCGAAAAAGTCCAATTTTCAACAAACCTGAATACCTATCATTCTTTTTTTCCTATCCAATCTCTAGCTTAGACAGTCTCTGAGATCCACCAATTTATACAGAGAACCTTAGTAAACTAACTCGACTCGAGCGTTGAGGCTGATCAGATACAGCTTATGGGTTCCTTTGAGCAACTGCAATATACCCTATTATTGGTTACTTATAATGGCTGCAGGGTATACAAAACTCAAGATTGAATAACAAATTGTATGGCAAATTATTGTGTATGGTAGCTGCATGTACATTGTTGTCGTAATTGTTGCTGTCGTTGTTGTTGTTGTTGCAGTTGTTGTTGCTGCTGCTGTTGCTACTTTTTTATAGCTTCTTTCACTCCAATTGTGGACGTCAGTTGAGGCTCGCACAAAAACGAATGCGCCTCAATCAGAGAATTTTAATTATTATTTTCAATTATCGAAAATGGTTTTGCGTCTGTTTCAATATGCCGCATAGATATATATATTCATATATATATATATTATGCTTTTATTCTCCCTTTGTCGTTTTGGGGCTTTTCAAGTGTTTTGCTGGGGCGTCTGTTTGCATTTTGTACCCCCAAGCCGCCCCCCTCCAAATGTATCTGTATCTGCTGCTATTGTTAAGGCGTTGCTCGTAATTAGGGGGCGTTTCAATTGCGGCATATGGTTTTATTTTAATTAAATTTCTTGTCGAGATAAGCGCTTCGGTACACCCGAAACCGCAGCCACAGCTGGCCCTTCAGTTCGTGGCTGAGCGTGGCTTTTTAGACTCCAACTAGTATTTGTTTCTGTTTTTTTTTTCTGTGTTGGTTTCTTCTAATGTCCGACGACAAGGGCAATGAGTACTTTTCGAGTACTCAGTTTTGTTTTGTTAAGCACACACAAAAATCGGAGCCAAACAAATCCGCTGAAATACGATCGAGAGTGGAAACAACTGAAGCTTTTAGCGTGTAGCTGCAAAAGCCACAAAGCTGTTAACTGATAAATTAAACAACTGTCGCCGGGCTCTGAAACGCGAAACAATAATAAACAAACAAACAAAATGTGCGACGCAGAGCCGCAGCGTTCGCAAAGTCAGACAATCCAGTACACAGTAGTAAAAAGCTTCAGATACATAAGCTCAACTCTGTCATTCTCCTATATAGACACAAAAATGATTTTTATCAGCTTGGGCGAGCGCGAATTGCATTGGCCAAAGGCACACAACTCCAAGCTCAACAAAAACAAAAATCAAAATAAAACCAAATTAACTCGAAATGATTCGCTGTGATGCGCTCTTGTGTGTATCTGTGAGATACTCGTGATCAGGTGGCGGCTGTGATCAGCGCTGCTTAGCACGCGTCACTTGACGAGACCCCCAATTTCTGGCTTAGATACACTGCACTACGAAACGAGCCTAAGGCCGATCCTGAAGGCTATGCGACGGGCTATAAACGAATATGGGTTATCTTTTCTATATTAATAAAGATCTCGAGTTATTTTTCATCCAAGATAACTATATATCTAAATTTAAGCAAACAAATTATTATATCAATTTAAATGTAGATTTTAATATCATTTGAAGAATATCAGGCTTGGAATATGAGATATAAAGATATATTAAAATCCAGATCCATGAAGCAGTCTATTAGAATTATCTATTAGAATTATTTTTCGATAGGAATCTAGTTTAGAAAGACTTGTGGATATCTTTCTTGAAGATTTGTAACAATTAATTTGCTCGTCTTCATATTATTACATTGGCAATTGTTTGTGGTTTATAGAGTATAACATATTCGCATTTGCACTTCGTGTGTGTGTGTGGTGTGTGTGTAGAGTGTGTGGTTTTTCATTTTGTCGCAAATGCCATTTAGCCGAAACGAAAAATGCCAAAACTAAAAGGCAACAATAATAATGATAATTTTGTATTCGTATTCGCATTCGTATTCGTATGTTCGAATGTCGGATGCCGCGCCATGCGGTTGGGCACTGGCAGCAGCACATCGTGAACTGAGTACACAATGGCTAAAGTACACACACAGGTACACACACACACATGCAACAACTACAACTGCGACAAAAACGAAAAGCTAAAGAAACAAAAAATCAGAAGAAAAAAAGTAAAATCAAGTAAAATAAACCGCACGACAGCGCAAAACGGCAGCGAAAAAAACGCGACGCTAGCAGTTTGTCACTCAATCGGCCCGCAATCAGTCGCGTTTTTTATTTGTCGTCGGTCTGCGGCATAGAACGCCGCCTAAGATACACGCGCATATCTCAGTATCTCATAGATACATTGGCAGTTACCACAAAGCGAGACGTGCGCGTCGCTGCAAGTCGCTTGAGCTGCGCACGCGCGTCTTCAACTCGAAGTGTCAAAATGTATCTATCGCATTAATTGTATCTGACAGATACAAAACCTAAATAAAAAAGAATGCACTGCAATGCCAACTATGCAGCATTGTTGTTGTTGTTGTTATTGTAAACTGCGCATGTAGAACAAAGACTTTAAGTACAGTGAAGCTGGTAAAAGAAATTCGTGTGTTGGGTTCATCTGTCTAAGGCTATCGATTCTGTGAGATGCAGATACATTTAATGCATATAAATATTGTTGTGCTTGTTACATTTGTATTTGTTCGTGCATTTTAAACAATAAGCACAAAGACCCAGCAGTACAGTGAAGCTTGCCTAACAAGTTCTCGTTAGGCTTCTATTGCTGTAGATAGCTGATTTTCGATCCCTTTCGCTATAAGTACAGTGAAGTATGCCTAACATTTACTACATTAATTTATCAGAAAACCATTTTTAAGCTAAATTCACAGAGACAGTTATCACTGTAGTGTGCATACACTCGAAGAAACATTGATAAAGTGAAGCTTGGCTTACAGACCTATGCATAATTGCCTTTAAGTACAACGCATTTAAGCAGTTATTACTGTATTTACATTTAAAACAGCGACGCTTGTTTAACAAACATGCAAAGACCTTTTTCTTGCTGAGCTTGCTTTGCCAGCTTACATTTTAGCTCAACTTGCTTATGCAGCCATCACTGTACTTGCTATTGAAGCTAAAGCTATGTTTAGGCGATTGACTGTATTGTAGCATATCATTTGATGACTTAGTCAAAGTACAGTGAAGCTTGCTTAATAAAATATTGAAAACTGTACTTGCTTTGAACTAAATGCAGCTGCATATGGAACTCTTCTACAATTCAACTTATGCAGTAAACACTGTGGTTTCTATGTACGCGCTGAGCTAAAAGTGCCGTGGAAATGTTGTTTGCAAAACTAAAGTGTATATTAGCCCACCTAGGCAGTTATTACTGTTGCTGCTGATAAACCCTATTTACCTGGACTGAATATGCATGTACAAACGTGTCGAATGTATTTAAATAAATTTGCTGTACAGGCACAGCAACAGCTGATTCGTTACAGAGAACAATAGCTAAACAACAATGCATCGAAAAGTTCTCTCTCTCACTCTCACGCTGTATATATTTATATATTTACACGACATATTTGTATAAAAGTTAAACCGATTTCCGATACAGTTGGTAACGCTTGAATGCCGCAGTCTGTTCGGGGTGTGCCCCAAACACAAACACAAACACAAATACCCAGAGAGAGCATCATAAATGCTGGCATCTTCACGATCTGAGAGCCCGAACTCATACCTGAACAATATGGGTACGTGCGTAAAGTCTAGCTCAAGGTCGCCAATGACTGCGCCCTAAGTTCCATACACACATATATATATATACATTCTATAGAGACATATCTATGTACTTTGCTATGATACAATACGGGAAATTTGTTGACTTGCCGCGAATGCCGCATTTGTGCAAATATTAAAAGATGCCTTAAGCAAACAACTAGCACAAGTGTCATTAAATTGAAAACATCTATAAGAAAAGGCCACGCAATGGCTCTAGATGTGTGTGTTTTCCCTCGCATATATCATTTTAAAACAAATCCAGAGAAAGATAGAGAGAGAGAGAGAGAGAGAGTGAGTGGGAGAGGGCGAAGAGAGACATCACGTAATGGATTTCTTGGCGTCAGCATGAAAATGAATCACTTGGCCGCAGGCAAAGTAAATTCCAATTGAAAATTATCAGTCGGTTAGCTGACTTTTCTGGCTTTCGGTTAGACCGAGGGCTACAAATGCGTATTGCCCGGCAACAAACGGAAATTGTCAGTTGTCAATTTTTTGAGAACAGCAGCAACAACAACAACAATTAGAACAACACAACAAAGGTGTGCGGCATATTAAATACAAAATGTCAACAGCTCGTCAACCCAAAAGCGTAAACCCAAAAATACTTATATACATTATGCATACATATGCATACATGGCATATCTATGTATATCTGAACATAAATGACTAGTCAAAAGAGTGCACATTAAAAAAAAAAAGGGCAAAACAATTTGGTTAAACATGCTAGAGGCATTTTTTTAAATATTTTTGCTGGGAACATCCCCATCCTAAAATATATATAGTTAAGAAATATTACTATGTGAACTATACGTTAGGCAGGCAGGCATTACCTTTTATATAAACTCCGCATTCTACAAAATCTATTGTTTTTATATTATTATTTATTACAATATATATTATATTTTTTTCTCCACTTACCTGGAAGATCACCTTCTCAAATATTTGTCAGAAAGATATAAAGATGTACTCCTCAAATCTTTAATCAATGGTGCTCCTGTGAATTAAGACTCTAGAATAAATAATAAATAAATATATTTAGATAAATACATCAAAAGCATATTTGTATAATTTTCTATGCGCCTCAATTAGAGCTTGGTTTAAAAAACTTCAGTTAAATATATCCGAATCATAATTGCAGTTCTCGCTAATAAATATATAGTTAAAAAAAGGTCATGAAGAAATCGTCGCTATTAGTCATAATAAATCTATATTATAGAAATCATATATCCTCTTGACATCGTTCTCTATCTTTCTCGCTACCTCTCCGTACCTCTTTCTCTCTTTTTACATCTTCTTCTTTCTCTCTTTGTACTTTCCTTTGACTATGTTTCTCTCTCGCTCTATCTATCTTTCTCCCCCTATCTTCCTCTCCTATTCCCCCTCTCTCTTTCTCTTTCTCGCATCTCTTTCTCTTTCTTTTTTTTCACAACTCTCGAACCTCCTAAAATAAATGGCCAGCGCAATCTATTTTTTTAACATGCTTCAAATGCTTCAGTTTTTAATGAAAATGCGTCGCTTTACGCTCTAAAAATTTTCAGATACCCGCACATTAACCAAAGTTCAGAGTGTAAATGTGAAGCTTATGAAGTTTATGCGATAATTGTTGTAGTGGCTGGAGTGCAGAATAAAAGTAACAACAACAAGAACGAAATAATAAACACTAAAGCTGAAGCAAAAGTCAAGTTAAAGTACAAAAAAGCACAAAGTGTAAAGTCGCAAATACTTAAATATAGATGATATCCAGACTGAGGTGCTTCAAGTCGAAGTACTATGGCAATTAGGCTAATCAGTTCTAACCGAGGCTTATGCAACCCTGTGGTAATTTCTAAGCGCAGCAATTGGAAAAAATATAATAAAAAAATAAAAACACTTTTATAATATAGTCGCAGTCATGTGTTGACTGAGTTGACAAATTGGTTAGTTGGCTGCGTGCAGCGAGGCGTAACTAAAAAAAAATAATAATAATATTAAATGATTACAAAACAAGTCAAATGGCAGCAGTTGCAACATTACCACATGCCGCATGCCACATTATGCTATTATACACATGCATATATGATTGCAGCGGCAAATCAATTGCATTTATATGTTGCAATCACTTGTGAACAATGTGTGGCAATATGCACTTCACTTGCAACAAGGCTCCAGCCCCAAAAGTACAATATGCGTTCCAACAATATTTGCACTTTCTTCGTAGAGCTTCATGTACTCTACTATATAGGCACATGTATATATAAAGTCATATGAGTTTCGTTTATTTACGCATATTTATGTCTATATGTTGACCAAGTACAAACAACATGGTCCATCAGCAACAACAACAACAACAACAACTAGAAGAAGAGGCAGTCTGTCAATAGACTGGCAAACGTCAATTTAGCCGGGCCACAAGAAATTGAAAATAGACAGACCCGACAAGTTGTGGAAAGCATAGAAATGAATAGAAAATGAAAATAAATAGAAAATAGTTGACATGGAAATATACTTCATTATCCCAATGAACGCATCAATATATTTAAAGACACACAATAACAATCGATTGTCACATGAAAAATATCGAATTGTTCAGATTTATGGACATGTGTTTCGCGGTTTTTAAGTTTATTAACCCCAATTTTTATTTAGATAGCTGCCAAGTGTTAATCAACTGAAGAGAATTGTCAAAACACAGCTATAATTGTTGTAAGCATGTTTTAATGCTGAGAAAGAATCGATAAGTGCGATGTAAATATCGATAATACGATAACTCTGTCGAAAAGTGTGAGCCACATTTTGAAAACATTCTTACAAAGTTCTGTCAAAATGTTTCTAGAAACTCGAAATTGATTGTCTTAAGTAAGGCAGAGAAAGGAAGATTTCATTAACATTTTTGTTGCACATTTTCCCCTTATTGATAATATAAAACCGCACTTCTCTATGATCTCTTTTATAAATAACTTTAAAATTATTTGGAAGCTTTGTGAATTTCACAAAGTTAATAAAATACTTAATCATTAAGTTATTAATTGAGTATGTAAAACTTAGTTCAAACAAATGTTCACAAAGAACTGCTAAAAAGAATGTGTTCAACAATTTTCCCATCTCATAAAAGCAACAATTTAGCTATCATATCTCGGCTTTGTAAACAAATGTAGACAATGCCTAAACAAAGAACATCTTTGTATTGCATTGAATTTCAAAAATGATCCTCTATATTATAGAGAATAAATGTCATTACTCTGAGCTGTGCTCCATGAGCTATTAAAATGGCATAATACGATCGACTCAGCTTTCTCTTCTTGATATTTTAGTTAGAGAGAATTTCACATAGAAATAAACCAACAGAGACTTTACTTGCTGTAGTTGTTTTTGTTGTTTTTGTTGTTGTAAATAAATAAGCTGAAATTTTCACAATTCATTTAGTGTTATGTGTCGACAGTTGTTTAGTTTCGGTTTCGGATTCCGCAGCTAGACAGAAACGCCCCTACATAAACAGACACCCGCCCCCCTGCATCTTATACATAGGCCTGGTTTATATAAGCACAGACGTTCGTTTCTTTGGAGCTATTTTCAAGCTGATTAGAGACAGGTGTCATGTTATGTACCTTATTGCTATATATAGCTCTTTATAGTGAGAGTTAGAGAGAGGTGTTCAACTATGGGCGTGGCATTTGTGAAATTCGCTTTGGCCCGAAACAGTTGCCTGGAAAGTTAGGTTTGTTTAGCTGCTGCTACGTTTAATAGTTTTTATATTTAATTTTTATTGATATTTTTATTTGCTGCTTTGCTATTTTTGAAGTGCAATACGAAAAAAGTGCACATTAAAATTGTTGAGGCGAAAGCCCCCTTGAACAAGGCAGCAACATCATTTCATGAGCTGGCTCCTAACTGGCATTAAATGCAAAATCAAATAACTGTGCTATGTGATCCCCATAATAAGCTTAATAACAATAGCAAATATCGTTCGTGTGTGTGCGTAATATATATACATATATGCATGTGACATGCCTGGCACATTAACGCTCGATATGATGCGATGATATGCAGCAAATTGAAAGTAAATAAAAAATAATAACAATCGTAAAGAAAGAGCAAAAATACAAAAAATATACATTATTACAAAAGCAAACGGGGCAATATGGCAAATTAATTAGTTATACAAAAATGGCAGACCATGAAAAAAAAGTGTGCGACAACAACAACCACAAAGTTTATAATAAGAATGCAACACGCGCGGCGTATTAAAATTAAATTACAAAAATAAAAAAAAAAAGGAATAAACATATAAAAGTTCAAATTATGCACAAGTGAATAATTGTGGTATATTTTTTTATAATGGCAGCTCACACTAAATAAATAGAAACATGTTTACGTAAACTACATGCATATATGTATTTAAAAAAATAATAATAAAAATAAACATAATAATATAGCTTGCATTTTAATATAGCCCAAGAGGCTCATAAAAACAAGTTGCCCTTCTGTTTGTGTGTGTGTGTGTGGCGCCAAGTACGGGCGCATAAATATGAAAAATCCAAATACAAATATCATGGAATGCAGCAATGGCTTAAACAACAACAACAACAGCAAGAGTACCAACAACAACAATAACAGCAGCAACAACAACAACAACGGCAGCAGCCTCACAGCGTCCAATATCAACGGAAACGGAAATGGCAATGTTAGTGAGCTGCAGCTGCGCCCTCTATCGGCCAAAACAGCGCTAACAACATGTGCAACATCAGCAACAGTCCAGCCCAACAACAGCAGCAGCAACAACAAATTGTGCGGCTCCGGCATGTCGCCGCACTCGCCACCCCCGCAGCACCAACTTCAGCAGCAGCAGCCCACAAACATGGCCACAAATGGCCATCAGTCGTATCCGGCGATAACGGCAACGTATTGGCTGCCGCCACCAAATCCGGCGCCATATTTAGTTCCAGGTAATTAGTGTTACTTGCAGCCATAGCCAAAAGCCCCATCTCGGGCTAACACTAACTCCAGCTACAGTCGTCTATCCACCCTTCCACCCTTCGGTGTCCTTCCGCAACGCGTTGCCTGTTCCGAAATGTTGCAAATTATATTTTCGTGTTTATTGTAAAACTCGCGAGGATTACACTGCGAAAATTGTTGCTGTGCTTTGTATACAAATTATATATAAACATTGTCAGAATCTAGACAAACTTGCAATTTTTCAAGCTGATCATAAAATGGTTTTATCAAGAACTTTTTAGTTGAATCGAAATTAAATCTAAATTAAATTTAAGAAGCTTTTAACTTCCATGCAAAATATTTAAGGCTTTATTTAAGACAGCCTGAAAAAGTGGATGATCAATTAAAATATTAAGTTCAATTTGTACTTTGGAGCATTATTTAAGAACGAAATGTTTTTAAATTCTAAGCATATAGCATATAAATGATGTTTAAATTTAGTTGACTTTTTTCAAGTATTTAAATTCGTTTTTAAAGTGTTTTTTCCCATAATTCTTAATTTAATAATCTTAAACATGGGCAATTCTTATTTAAAAACGGGATGCGTTTACACTTTAAGCACTAAATAAACCCCAGTCGGAATGTACTAGAATTTGAGCAGCGATTTTTCTCAGAGTGTACAAAAAATGGTATGCGGGGCATAAAGGGCAGACAACGTGGCTCGTGTCGAGTTACATGTGTGTGTGTTGTCGTTGTATTTTATTTCCATTCGCTTTTTTCTCTCGTATTTTGCTTAGTCCCCGAGTCGCGCTGCCAAGTGGCAAAATGTTAAGCCAGTGTGTGAAGCTGGGGCTGGATTTTAATGCTACCTATAGCATATCGGTATGTGAGTGAGTGTGAGGGTGTAGAAGTATGGGTGTGTAGGGATATGTGTGTTGTGGGCGTTTGTTTCGGGCATCGGTTGCATGCAACACAGCGGCGCCTCGTTTTTGTGTGTAATTTCATTTGCAAACGCCACTTGCTGGCTGCTAATTAAATTTTAGCTTTGTCAGGGGATTTGCACTTGGGGCATGTGGAGAGCATTTTGTTTGTCCTTTT